AGAGAGAGAGAGAGAGAGAGACGAGAGAGAGACGAGACGAGAGAGAGAGAGAGAGAGAGAGAGAGAGAGAGAGAGAGAGAGGAGAGAGAGAGAGAGAGAGAGAGAGAGAGAGAGAGAGAGAGAGGGAGTGAGAGAGGGTGAGAGAGAGGAGAGAAAGAGAGAGAGGAGGCGATCTGCGCCTCGTACGCACGCTGAGTGTCGTCGTGATGTGTGCGGGGGCGAGAGAGACCAACGGGTGACCACAACTTACAGGTCAATAGATGGCCAGGCGCTGCGTGGGAGTAGAGATTACAGAATATTTACATCCAATCGCTAAATCTTAACATAACTCTAAGGATCCACGCTTCCCTCCCGGACTTTATTACATCCCCCAACATAAAACAAATGGTGAAAATCACGAAAAAAACTCTCAAGGATCTACGCTTCTCTCCCAGTCTTCACTACACCCCCCCCCCAAACATACAACAAAAGTCGACAAAAATTGCTAGAAACCTCTTGCAGACTTCTCTCAAGGAATTCACTACACCCACCAACATACAACAAATGGCGACAAAAATCGCCAGCAGTAGAAACCTCTTGCAGACTTCTCTCAAGGAATTCACTACACCCCCCAACATATAACAAAAGGCGATGGAAAAATCGCTAGCCACCTCTTGCAGACTTCACTACACTCCCGCGTAAAACAAAGAGCGACAAAAATCGCTAGCCACCTCTTGCAGACTTCACTACACCCCTGCGTAAAACAAAGAGCGACAAAAATCGGTAGCCACCTCTTGCAGACTTCACTACACCCCTGCATAAAACAAAGAGCGACAAAAATCGGTAGCCACCTCTTACAGACTTCACTACACCCCCGCGTAAAACAAAGAGCGACAAAAATCGCTAGCCACCTCTTGCAGACTTCACTACACCCCCGCGTAAAACAAAGAGCGACAAAAATCGCTAGAAACCTCTTGCAGACTTCTCTCATGTACTTCATTACACCACCCAACATACAACAAATGATGAAATAACTAAAAAAAACTCAAGGATCCACGATCCATCCCCGACTTTATTACATCCCCAAACATAAAACAAATGGTGCAATAACAAAAAAAACTCTTAAGGATCCATGCGTCCCTCCCGGACTTCATCCCACCCCCAACACACACAACAAAGAGCGATGGAAAAATTGCTAGCCACCTCTTGCAGATTTCTCTCAACCTGGGTGTTTCGCTCCATCAGCTGTTTCACGTTGATGTCCTTAGCGGCGATCTCGAGCCGCGCCGACGAAGCCTCAGAGCTGAGCACCTCCGATTGGCTCTCGATCTCCTGCGCGGTCTCGCAGAGCGAGCGATACTGCTGCAGCAGCTCGTAGCGCTCCTGCTCCTTCTGCGCGAGCAGGTCGTGAACTCTCGCCACCTCCGCGATGTACTCTTTCACCTGTGCAGAGCGGTCAGTGTCATGTTATGCGCGCGTGCTGCGGAATGCCCGCTAAGCGAGCGAGCACGGTATAAACAATGCTCGTGATAATGCGGGTATTGATTACGCATTATGACGGAAATATGTGTGTGTGTGTGTGTGTGTACGTTTGTGTGTATGTGTGTGTGTGTGTGTGTGTGTGCATGCGTGCGTGCGTGCGTGCGTGCGGGCACTCGTGTGCGCATATGTTTCCGTATCGGTGCGCGTGTGCTCATTTTATTCGTAAGTCTATTGAAAAATAACGAATTGACGTTTGCTATACTGGTAGTAATGAATTGCCAGTCATGAACATTTCTGAAAAAACATGTAAATATTACTGTTAATTTGCTATTTGCTTAACAACTGCTATTGTGCTAGAATTTACAACCTCATTTTGAACGATTTTGTAGTACAATGTTGTAGTACATTGTTGTAGTACATTGTTGTAGTACATTGTTGTAGTACATTGTTGTAGTACAATGTTGTAGTACATTGTTGTCGTACAGCTGTGATGTAGATTAAAACTTTTTAGGCTTCACCTGTAACTTGAGGTGTTCTCTGTCTTCATTGACCAACTGTAGGTCACTGTTAATCGTTTGATTTTCCTTCGCCATGGCTTCCAGATCTTCATTGAGTCTCATGTTCTCTTTGTTGACTATATCACGCGCTCGCGACGTGTCATTGACGTCTTGGTTTGTAGTATCAACCTGAAACCATGATCATTAATAAAATTAAAAATAATATAATTAAATTATAATTAATTATTTAAAATAATTTGCAGCCAAAATGAATTAAAATACATTAATAAATTTATGCCTTTATGCTGATTTTATAGCTTACTTAAGACATTTAAAGTAAATGTGACATAATTTAATGACGAAAAGTCATTACGAATATAGAAGAGCATTAGTATGCCAACACACTAACAATCAAAGTAAGTATAAAAAGATCAAATAATAGGACGACTGTAGTTTTTTCCGTTACCTGTCTTTTTAGACTGTTTATTTCTCGGTCCTTCGCTGATAGTGCTTCAGTTAGGTGCTCAATGTTCAGCTTATGCTCATGAATCTTGTCCTTACATTCTATTATCTTTGTCTCCTACACGTGACAGATAGCAAACGTTAACCATGGGCTAGCCACCGCGCTAGCTTCGCCGCACACCTTCTGGACACACAGGCACCAAGCTATAGAAAACTATATCGTACTATGAATGAACATTTAATAGGGAACTCCTAAACAGAACTAACTAACTGGCAATGGGAATGTTATTTCCCTATAGCTGTCAGTCGTAACTTCTGTCTGCCGTGCAGATATGTGAAAGTACGAGAATGTTGCAAGGCTTTCGAAATCTACATATGAAAATCTGGCGCAGGAAATGAAAATCTGTTAAAAAACCCTCTGACAAGATCATACAGCACGTAAAAAAACCATGTTACGTACACGCATTACTCATCATATCGGCACACAAACACACGCTCATCCCCACGCACGCGCTCACACGCTCACGCACGCACGCACGCACGCTGAACATGAAACGTACTCTCTCCTTGAGCTCCTGGTTCACGAACTCGAGTCGCTCGCTCTTGTCGTCGCCGTCCAGTTGGAGGGAGTCCTTCTCCCGGTCCAGCGTCACCACCCTGGCACGCAGCGTCGACACCTCCCCTCGTAGCTCGACGACCGTCCTCTCAGAACCATCTGCATAAACGCATGTGCACTGTCATTCACGTGTGCACCGTCATTCACGAGTGCACCGTCATTCACGGGTGCACCGTTAACTACTTATGGGGCGATTTGATTGCAATATCGATTTAAATGTATGAGCAATTATCGTGTAGAAATGTCGGTAGTTCACGGGTTAGTTATCCTCGCAAACCCTCTAGCAGTGGCAGATTTTTGTTTCATTGGTGCAGCAAGTGAGACGTTGAAAAGGAAATCGAATGAACACCACAGAACATAAAGACGTAGAACAGCACGCACCTAGTACCACGCACTGAATGAGATGTTGAAAAGGAAATAGAATGAACACCACAGAACATAATAAACGTAGAACAGCACGCACCTAGTACCACGCACTGAATGAGATGTTGAAAAGGAAATAGAATAAACGCCAAAGAACATAACGAACAGAGAACGACACACTCCTAGACACACGCAGACAAGACAGAACGAACACCACAGAACATAACGAACGTAGAACGGCACGCACCTAGCGACGCACGCAGATCCTGTATAGTTTTCTCAGCAGACTGCAGGTCTACGCTCCTGCGCGACAGCCGAAACTGATGGTCGTCCAAACTGCGCTCGGTCTGCTCCGCAAGTTGTCTGCCCGGCAATAAGGAGATGGAACGGGTAAATATCACAGTGAACGCTTTGGTTTGCTTCGAGAGTGCCGTTCGGAGGTGAAGTTAATAACTGAGCTCGCTGACTAGGGGTGGGATGAATGCGGGTACGATCTGTATCATGATACAGCCTTCACGATGC